GTGGTAGGAGAGCAAAAACTAAGAATGGGACAGAGCTAAGAGATCTGAGACAGAAGGTTACTTAACAAATGGGGCTTTCGGGAAAGAAATCAGATGAAACCGTGGAATTCCATTCTTAGCTTCTGAGCTTGGCCTATAAAACTCAAGCGTCTCTGTCGTCGGGGGCTCTGGAGGAGGAAAGGGTCCGCAGTCTCGATAGGCGATAATCCGGAGAAATCTGTACCCTCGAATAGACTGGTGCTGGCTATTTGCCTACTGATGACAATGTGTAAATAAATGAGTGTTCACACCCACATCTAGCATCGTTTCTATCCTAAACTGGAGGGAGGGGTGTGGGTTGCCAAGCAAGGAAATCACTCAGGCCTTTGCCACTGGCCTAAACCCGAAGAGAGCCTCCGGTTGCCATGGAAGCCAGCCCGCGGTATCCCAGCATGCCTGCTCCCCAGCTGTCCAATAGTGAGCTCACTGGCGGGCGCCCCCAGATGATGCACGCGGAAGCGTGCACAAGCCCCGCCCTCCGGAGACGAGGGACCGGCGCCGCGCTTCCGGGAGCTTAGAGGCGCGGCGGGTACCCGCAGCCTTGGGTGTCTCTTAGGGAGTCCTGGACGTGAGGCCAGACGCCTCCCTCCTCACGGTACGTATCGCCAACCCTGGCTCCTGGTTAGTCCTCTCCGAGCTAGTCGGGCGCGCCGGGTCCAACTTCGTCCTCCGGGGCCGTAGCGGAGACAACCGAACGGACGCGTGCGGGACCGCGGGGACGAAGCCGGCCGCAGGAGAGCCTGCGATTCTCCTGCCCGTGGCGGCAAGTCCGAAGATAGACGAGGCAGAGGCTCCTGGGTGCCGCAGAATGGGTGAGGGCGGGAAGGAGACTGGCTTGCTGGAGAGTTCTGCCTTCCTGAAGCTCCCAGTCTGAAAAGAGAAATTGCATGTGCACCGCACTTCACAGGTTGCTTTCTCATCTCTTACCCCTTGTCATCTTCCCCACAATCAGAGCAGGAATGATTATCCCGTTTTGCACACAAAAAGGAGAGGCTGTGACTTATTTTACCACTCTGTACAATTAGAGACAGCTGGGGGTCGCGCGTGCGCACACACATATACATGCACTCCCCCACCTTTTTCTAGTTTGGAAAGGCTTCTGGAAGCTGTAGTACTTGGGCTGAGTCTTAATAGAACAAATATATTTGACAATGAAGAGGAATTGCAAAGGGAAAGTACGAATTAGTGGCTCAGTAACCTCGGGAGTGGGAAAGGTAAGAGGCTGGTTTGGAGAACTTGGAAGTGGAGGTAGGCATGAATGAAGGTTCCCCTTCTACGGATTTCCTGTCCCGTTCAGGCCCTTGGTGAAATCATGGGAAAATGTGACTAGACGCGCCCCTAAGCTAAGCATTTGAAGCTTGAATGTGTGTCACCCAAAATTAACAGACACTTTATATTTGTTGTCGCTGCACAAATCCGAGGCTACCAAAAGCAAAAGTCAAGCTTTGCCCTGCAAAAGTTTCATTTCTGTTCCATTCATCAAGTCAGGCAGTGTTGGGCTGCTTGACTAAGGACGTGGAGCTCTGCCCTGGGGAGGCTCATAGGTGAGGCAGATCCAGTGAGAATGGGCAGATCGAAAGGAGATGCTTACCAATCAAAAGCAGTGGCTAGAGAAGCTAATTGAGCATCATAGGACAGTGGAAACCCTCCATAGGCAGTGAGAGTCTGCTAGGAGATGGTTAGAACCTCCTCTCAAGGCAACTGGAGATCTCTTGGCAAAATGAAACCGTTATTAACTACGTCCTCCTTCAGAAATAGTCTCTGCTTGTGACTTTGTGCGTCTTCTTATCCACCTCTCCCTAATTTCCTTTCTCTTTGGCAAGGGTCTCCTCATCAGCCCCTTTTGGTGACTAGAGAGCCCCATCACAGCCCCTTCTCTCCCCACACTTTCTGCCTTGGTGTTTGTACCCTCTTCAATGGCCTGAACAGCTTGCGCTAGAATGATAGCCAGATCCCTCTGCAGTGCAGAGTTCTCGCTGAGGTTTAGAACCAGAACCAGGTCTCCTTCCTTCTCCTCCTTTCTCCTATTTTGAGATCCTTAGTCACACACACATGCACTCACTCTGCTTGTCTTGTCCTTTCCTCTGCCAGTCACCTCAGCCTGCTGATCCAATGCCCCTAGCAGCCTTTGCTGCTGCCCCAAGCTCCGATCTTTCAGATGCCACCACCCGCCTCCTGCCTTACTCTTAACTCTTCTCTCACACGAATTGGTCTCCTGCTTTGCGCCACTCTCGCGGGAACGTATGGTCAAAACTGCTAGCCCCAGCACCTGTTGTTACGTGCCATTAAGTTCCAATTCATACCGCCCTATGTAGCAGGGGTGGAGAATGTCTGGCCTGCGGGCCTTATAAAGCCTGTGAAATCATATAGTCTGGCCCTGCCAGTTCTAGCCATCACTTTGTTGTTGTTGTTGTTGTTAAGTGCCATCGAGTTGGTTCCAACCCATAGTGACCCTATATCAGATTTCCGAGGAGCAGCTGGTGAGCTTGAACCGCCAACCTTGCAATTCAAACGTCTTTGCAGTCTGGCACATTAATCCACAGCGCCACACCAGGACTCCAGCCATCACATTAGGGGTGAGTTAATTCAATGTTTGACCAAATATAGCAGGCTAATTTTTAAGTTGATAATTTTGTATGGCACATGAAGGATAAGCATTTTCATTGGTCATTTAAACCAAAAGGGCAGCAGTTCAGACTCACCAGCTGCTCCTCGGAAACCCTATATAGAGTCGCTCTGAGTCACAGCCGATTTGAAGGCACTTAACAACAACGCGAATAATGCTATAAATTTTGGCAGAAAAAAAGATTCCCACCCCTGCTGTTTAGGGATTCCAAGAAGTGGCTAGTGGGTTTGAACCAGCAGCCTTGCAGTTAGCAGGCCAGTGCTTATCCTGCATCACAACATCAGGCAGATATTAAATGCTCAAGGAGTATTCAATGAACAAACAGAAGGACTGCTTCGCAGTGTTTGAAGTTGCTGAGGAAACAAGACAAATCAAACCAAAAAGTTTGGCATTCAAAAAATGATACACTGTTTCATCTCAGTGATTGCAGTCTACTCTTATCTTTGCTTTTTCTTAATAGGTGAGCACATCAGAATGTTTCATGGGAAGGAGCCTGCCCAGAGGTTAAAGCTATGGTCAAAGGGGAGTGCTGGTGATGTGTGGTCCCAGAGAAAGGGACCTGGGTCTGTGCCTCAGAATACTATCTGGTCACTATCCTAGAGTGAGCTATTAGTGCTATGATGGTCCAGGATGGACCAGTGGGGCTGATGAGGAGACCCTGGCAAAGTGAGCACAGTATAAAGACAGAACTACGGAATGCTCTCCGGAACAGAAGAGGAGGGTGTGGTGGGCAGGGAGGCAGCAGAGCATGTTTCTCTGGGGACTCACTGGGCACGGGTAGGTGAAGGAGCTGGACAGGTGGGTCAGCGACTGAGCCGAAGGCCATGGCTGTGTATAAGGAAAGACTTTGCAAGTTTCCTGTTCCCTGAGGCAGGCTTTGCAAGTTCCTCAGGGGGCAGCCTGACAGGTGCAGCCTGAGTTTCTGGACCACAACTGTTTGGTTGCAATCCTTCGGTTAAACTACCTGCAAGTCAGAGACCTTTGACTCAGAGTCGCTCCCAACAGGGCCTTGCAAACCCCAACCAAAACTTCGGGAGCCCTAAAAAGTTTTTGTTTTTTCCTGAATGTCATTCTGCTGTGGACAATATGCACCGCAGAGTATACACCCATTCAACACTTTCCTCGTGTACAAACAATTCAGTGACACTGATGGCATTCTCCAAAGTGTCCAGTCTTTCTCCCCCACCTTTTTGGAATTGTTCCTCACTCGAGCATTAGCTCACTACCACCTAAAGTTCCAGTCTGGTCTTTTGGAGATGCGGTTGTCAGTTTGAGTCCTTGTCATCAGTTCTAAAGAGAACGTCAAGCTCAGGGCAGAACTATTTTACTAGTTGAGTGAAACTTGGTCCGATTTTCAGATGACATTGGGGTAGGTTTGGTTTAAGGTTAAAAGACGGTTTGGCGCCCTGCTGGTGCTGTGGATTAGGCCTTGCAAGGTCGGCAGTTGAAACCCACCAGCTGCTCCTTTGGAAAAAGATGAGGTGGGCTATTCCAGTAAAGATTTAACAGAAGTCAGAATCACCTCAAAAGCAATGGATTTGGTTTGGGGGTTCTAGAAGGGATTTGGAAGGGACTGAGAACTCACCCAAACCCCTGCTGTGTGTGCTGGTCTCTGGAAGAATTGACCTCATTCTCTTACCACTCTGCAGGGATGTTGTCACCTAAAGAGCAAAGGTGTCTCCTCAGGACCACACTTAACATTGTACCCAGATGTTTTTCCACCTCACTGTACCTGCTCTAAGGTGCCCTGGTGGGGATGTGGGTTAAGCATTGGGCTGCTCACCACCAAGGTCAGCATTTCAAACCCGCCAACAATTTTGTAGGAGAAAGATGAGGCTGGCTGCCCGCATAAACATTTACAGTCTCGGAAACCCCACAGAGCAATTCTTGGTCCCTGGGGTGATGCTATAGGATAAGCACTGAACTGTTAACTGCCAGTCCTTGGGAACCCTTTACAGGGTCGCTGTGAGTTGGAACCGACTCAACTTCACAACTCAAGAACGTAGGGTTGCTGTGGCTCAGAATCGAGTCGGTGGCAGCGGGTTGGGTTGGGTTTTGTATCTGCTCTGGTGGTCGCCTGTCAGGGTTATCAGTAATCACTCTGCCTCCAGCGTCATGCCCTTGGCCTTTCCCACACCATGAATTGGTTCACCAGTTCCCCAGGTTTGGGAACACCCACAAGGTCCCAGGGCCATTTGCTCTCTTCCACCCTGCATGTGTGGCAAGGCCAGTCATCTCCCAGCTGTCCCCATCCAGTCGAGGGTCAGACTGGACTCTGCTCCTGGCACTGCAGGTCGTGCTTAGTGCCAACGCCGCCCCTTCTCCCAGTGCCCAGATGCCAGTCCAGCCCCCAAGCAAAGACACCGAAGAGATGGAAGCAGAGGGCGATTCAGCTGCCGAGATGAACGGGGAGGAGGAAGAGAGTGAGGAGGAACGGAGCGGTAGCCAGACGGAGTCTGAGGAGGAGAGTTCCGGTGAATGCACACATGCACACACAAACACACACAGGCACGCATGTGTCCAACATGTGTCCTTGTTGAGTGGCCCTGACTGACCTCTTGTCCCCAGAGATGGACGACGAGGACTACGAGCGGCGTCGAAGCGAGTGTGTCAGTGAGATGCTGGACCTGGAGAAGCAGTTCTCGGAGCTGAAGGAGAAGTGAGCGGGCGTACCTGGGGCAGCGGTAGCGGAGGCCCAGAGTGAGCATGCGCCTGACCAGGGCCTGCCACGGAGCAGGTGTTCGGTGCATGTCTGCTGCCTTTCCCTCCAGGTTGTTCAGGGAGCGCCTGAGTCAGCTGCGGTTGCGGTTGGAGGAAGTGGGGGCTGAGAGAGCCCCCGAATACACGGAACCTCTTGGTGGGCTGCAGCAGAGCCTCAAGATTCGTATTCAGGTGGCAGGTGTGTGGGGTGTCCCGGGACCAGGCCCCAGACGCCCCTCCCTGCTGCTCTCAACCCTGCCTTGCTCACTGCTGCCAGTCCTCCTAGGAAATCTCGCCCCCTTGCCCCCTCACGGGGAGAGGGGCCCTTCTCCCTTCTCCACAGGGATCTATAAGGGCTTCTGTCTGGATGTGATCCGGAACAAGTATGAGTGTGAGCTTCAGGGAGCCAAACAGCACCTGGAGGTGAGGGGCTGGGTGCCTGCCCAGGGTGCTGAATGGTCAGCGAGGCCTTGGGGCCCCCCGCCTGCCCCCCTGAGTGCTCTGCCTCCCCTAGAGTGAGAAGCTGCTGCTTTACGACACCTTGCAAGGGGAACTGCAGGAGCGGATCCAGAGGCTGGAGGAGGATCGCCAGAGCCTGGACATCAGCTCGGGTGAGGCAGCACCCCAGGGCGCCCAGGCCAGGCCAGCTCTCCCAGCTCTGTGCACCTAGACCTGAAGGCCTGGCAGGCAGCAGGAGCGTGCGCGGTGTGGGCCCGCTGTGTTCTCTGCTGCCCTTCCCCCCACTGGCCATAGCTGGCTCCCCCCATGCCCACAGCACCCATATCAAGTCCGTTGCTCTGCCAAGAGGCCACAGTGAAGGGTCTTGTCCTCGTGTCCACTGAGAGAAGAAAGAAGCTAGGCCTTTCCTAGAGTGTAGGCTTCCCCCCTCTTCCCTGCCTGGTGGTTGATGGGGGAGGGGTGTCCTTGAGGTGCAGCCCCTGATCTTGACCCCGGCACACAGAATGGTGGGATGACAAACTGCATGCCAGAGGCAGCTCCAGGACCTGGGACTCCCTGCCCCCTAGCAAGAGGAAGAAGGCCCCACTCGTCTCTGGTATCCTTCCAACCCTGGGGGCCTGAAGCAGGTGGGGGCCTGGATCCGCTCCAGACATGGAAGATGGAGAGCCAGATGACATGGCTGCTGCGTGTCCAGTGACCATGCCCAGACCAATCTGGCTGTCGGGTTAATCGGGGTGTCCTGGGGCTCCTGGCCATGTGGACTGCAGGAAGGCACCAGTCCTGACTCCCCTGGACGAGCTTGGCCTTTGATGCCCTTCTGGCTTCCCCACCCCTGTGTTTCTGCTGGAATACCACCTCCCACCTTCTTGGGAAGCACCCCACATCACCTCCTCCAGGAAGCCTCCTCTTCCCCCAGTGGCCCTGGCTTTCCTCCCTGCATGAGCTCTACCCTAATATGATCCCCTCTCTCCTCCTGTGCCCCTGGGCATTTTGCAGGTCCCCTTGTGATAGAGATGGGGCTCAGGCTGATAGGAATAGGGGTGAGGGCTTGGGGACTTCCGGTGTAGAGTGCCGGTGAGCACTGGAGAGTGGATGGTCCCCAGAGGAGGCTGTCTTACCAGTTTTATTGTGAGATGCCAGAAAGTGTCTGAAGAGAGAAGTGCTAAAAGTGGGGCTGAGGGAGGGTAGATGGAAGAGCCAGGGCCCTGAGAAGGGAGGGGAGCTCTGTAGTCTCCAGGCTCTTGCTGGAGGAGTAGGGGAAGGTTGAGGGGTAGAGCTAGTGCTCTACTCCAGAGTCCCACCTAGATCAGGTGGACTGGGCCTGCCCTTTGTCATCTGTATCCTTGACGCGGTCCCAGGCCCTTACATCGTGTACATGCTGCAAGAAATCGACATCCTGGAGGACTGGACTGCCATCAAAAAGGTGGCCTGGTGCTGCCCCTGCCCCACCCCAGCTCACTTTGGTTCCTGAGGGCCCAGGGTCTCTGGTGGACCCTCCGCATACCCTGCCTTAGCCCCAGGTTCCCTGTAGTCCCATGGGACATGGGCTGCCCTGGAAGACAACCTCTTAGTATGCCAGCCCCTCCTGGTTCTGGTGGGGATCTGGGGTGAGAAACTGGGAGGGTTTTGGGGCTGGCTGGCTCTCACAGACCCCCATCAGAACTTGACTTAGAAATAGTCCTTGGTCCCACTCCCATAGGGGCTGGTGGTGAGGGGCAGGGTTCATCCTGCCAGGCTTAGGGCAGGCTCTGAGGGAGGCTGTTTTTCCCCACCCAGGCCAGAGCAGCTGTGTCTCCTCAGAAGAGAAAATCAGATGGTGAGCAGCTCAGAGGTGTTCCTCACCCCACCCCTGCTGTCACTACCCTCAGCCCAACTTCCAGGAGGGAGGCCAGAGGGGGGCATGGTCCAGTCACAGTCCGAGTCCAACAGGAAGACCAGCCTAGGTTTTGGGGCTCTGTGGGAGGTCTATGAGCACAGGAAGCAGGAGGGAGTGGGACACTCTGGGTTGATGAAACTGATAAGCGAGCCCCCATCACAGGGCAGCCTTGATGGACCTGCAAAGCTGAGGAGGTGATTGGACACCCAAGACCACTGACCTCAGCCCCCATATGGAGTGGCTCCCCTTTCCTCATCTCGGCTTTTCCCTTTCCCACTAACACCCCTCCAGGACTGTGACCTTGCTGTTCCCAACCAGTGAGTCCCTCGGAGCCAAGTAGCTGGCCCTAAAGATAAGCTTTGAGTTCAATCCTGCTGCAGACAGGTGGACTGAAAGGTTCCCCAGGACTGCAGCCAGGCCCCCCTTCCAGCTCCATCAACCTCAACACTTCCTCACACCCACTGGGGCTAGTGCAGCTGTGGGCCTGGAGCGGACCTGCATAGGCTAGACAGTTTCCCCTCCCTGGCCAGGCCTCTGTCCTCCCTGACAAAGGTATGCCACATTGGAGCCCAACATCGTCCTGCTGACCGTGGGCCCTGGCTTCCCAGCCCCCACTGTGTGGGGACTTGGAGCCATAAGTTCAATTTCAGGAGAAACTCTCCTGGTGGGAGGTGAGAAGCTTTCTCAGGGTTTCTTTGTGTCTGCCTCCCAGATGGTGGGGACTGGAATTAAAACCTTTCCTGGGACTCTGGTGTGGTCTGTGTGTGTCTGATTTACCTGGTGAGGGAATCTGGGTTCCAGTCTCTCCTGGAGTCTCTCCTGGAGACTGTGACCCGCCCCTCCCACCAACTGTGATCTGGTGCAGCCTGTGCATGGGGTGCTCTTCCCATAGGAGAGAGCTGGGCCCCAGGCTCCTGGTGCTTCTGAACAACATGTGGCTGCACAGGCAGAGCAGAGCACGTGGCCACGGGTGGGGAAGGGAACTGTGCACACAGTGCTTAGTTCATGCCTACACCTGCCTGGGTCGCTTGGCAGATTGGCAGGGCCTGTGCGTGGGAGGCAGCCGGCAGCAGCAGCGCCATGTGCTGACGACCTCACAGCCAGACTCCCCCTTGTTGAGCGCTGAGTGCTAGAACCACCCCCAGAACTTCAGTTCAGTTAAGCAAAGGGGTTTGTTTCCATGGAGACTCGGCATCCCTTTTTCCATGGCAACCTGAAATCCTAAAGCCCAGGTTAGACTTGGGAATTTGTGGCCAGAAGGGGGCGCTCTGCCATCAGGCTGGCCTCAAGGCCAAGGAAAGAAGAACAACTGACCACAGACTTAAAGGTGCTTCTAGGGTGAGGCTGGGACTTGTGGGGACCGAAGGTGCCTGCTTAACCCCTTCCTGCCCATGTGAGATTTAAGGAGGCCAGCAAGGTTGCGGGAAGCTCTATGTGGAGGTGGCAGCCCCCCACATACAGCTGGGGCGCTAACATGGAGGGGGTCGTGACCCCGTTGCACTGGGCCCAGAACAGAGGAGGCGGGGACAGCCCGGGACGAGTGGACACGCAAGAGTTAACTGGCGGGGTGTGACAAGGCGAACCGCCCTCAGGAAGTGTTACTCACCACCGGGAATGTGCCTTGGGGGCTGGCTTCTCTTCCTGAGTCCCGGCGGGAGAAGCCGGCGGAGTGCCTAGCTATGGAAGCCCCCGGGGAGGCTGGCAAAGGCCCCCTTGGAGTCCCCAGCCCAACCAGCCCCGATCCAACGCACCTGGAGGGAGAAAAGTTCGTGAAGTTGGCGGGCGGCAGGTGGGTGGAGGGAGGGAGGAATGGCCAGGAGGGGAGGCCCGGGCCGAGCGGCGCGGGGGAGCGGGCCGGACGAGGGTCCCGCCGTCCGCCCGGCTCATTCTGCCCGCCCCCAGGCCGGCCCCGGACCCGCTGTACGACGTGCCCGCCGCCGGCGGGGGACAGACCGGCGGACCGCCGCGCCCCGGGCGCACAGTGAGCCTCCGGGAGCGTCTGCTGCTCACCCGGCCGGTTTGGCTGCAATTGCGGGCCAACGCGGCGGCCGCCCTGCACGTGCTGAGGACCGAGCCCCCTGGAGTGAGTGCTGCTCCGCCCCCGGCCTCCGAGGGTACTAGTCGAGGGTGGGGAGCCGGACCTGGAGGATCTGTGCCTTCAATTCCCATCCCCCACAGACGTTTCTCGTTCGGAAATCGAACACCCGCCGGTGCCAAGCCCTGTGTGTTCGGCTGCCGGAGGCCAGCGGCCCGTCCTTCGTCTCTAGCCACTACATCCTGGAGCGCCCTGGGGGTGAGACTTCCAGACAAGCTAGGAACAGTGGGAGGGTTTGGGTTCCCCTAGGGGACACCTCACTTCTCATCTTCCAGGAGTCTCCTTGGAGGGCTCAGAGCTCACCTTCCCAGACCTGATCCATCTCATCTGTGCCTACTGCCACACTCGGTGAGTCGTTCCAACAGCACCTGGTGTCCAAGGGGTCCTGCTCCCTGGACATGTCTGCAGGCTCTCTCAGGCCCCCCACAGACCACAGTACCTCTCACTCCTGACTCTGCTCCCCTCTCTGACCTCAGGGACATCCTCCTCCTTCCGCTCCAGCTCCCTAGAGCCATCTGCCAGGCGGCCACCCACAAGGAACTGGAAGCCATCTCCCATCTGGGTGTTGGTAAGGGCAGCCCTGTTACCCGTTGCACAAATGGACATACTGAGGCCCAGAGGGGCAAGGGAGCAGCTGGGCTTCAACTTGACATCTCTTCCCCAGAGTTCTGGAGCTCTGCCCTCAACGCTAAGGCTCAGGGAGCGCCTTGTGAAGGGCCACTGCTGCCCTGGATGAAGACCTGCTCCCCTCCAGAGGTGGACCAGGGCACTGGTACAGCTCTGTGCTTCTTCAACCCCTTGTTCCCTGGGGATCTGGGCCCCACCAAGCGGGAGAAATTCAAGAGGAGCTTCAAAGTGCGCGTATCCACAGAGACCTCCAGTCCCTTGTCCCCACCGGCAGTGCCACCGCCCCCGGTCCCAGTGCTTCCAGGGGCCGCCCCCAGTCAGATGGACAGGCTCCCTCCACGCCAGCTGCTGAGGAGGGAGAGTTCAGCGGGCTACCGTGTGCCAGGGAATGTCAGCCCCAGCCTCGCACCCCTGCCCTCCCTCCAGGAGGTGGACTGCGGCTCCCCCAGCAGCTCTGAAGAGGAGACGCCTCCTGGGGGCCGAGGGAGCCCAGCAACCTCCCCCAGCCTGGGCCACCGGCGTCCCCTCCTCCGATCCATGAGCGCTGCTGTCTGCTCCCTGCTGGCACCTGAGCGGCAGGTGGACCGGATGGCCTCAATGATGATGCGGGACCGCCACACAGCCGTGGGTCAGCTGGTGCAGGACCTGCTGACACAGGTACGAGCCGGACCCAAGCCCAAGGAGCTGCAGGGAATCCGAGAGGCACTAAGCCAGGCCCGGGCCATGCTGAATGCCGAGCTGGGCTCTGAGAAGCTGCTGTCACCGGAGAGGCTGGGTGAGGCCCTGCCGGTGACCCCATCTTACACCCATTTGTTTATCCTTGTCACTGTTCCCACCTGCCTCCCTGGTTCTGCTGTGTGCTTTACAAGTCACCTGGCCCCCCTTGTCCCCCACACTCCTGGCTCACCAAGATTCCTCCCCTCTGCCTTCCCTCTCCCTGCCTGGCTCTGTTCTTCTCCCCGATGCTGCCTCCACCCAACCCTGACTCCCTCACCCCTGTCTGGGTCTCCTCAGAGCATACGCTGGAGAAGTCACTACACCGCTCCGTGCTGAAGCCTCTGCGGCCCATCCTGATTGCCCACCTTCGGCATCGACTCTCAGCAGACGGCTCCCTGGGCCGTCTGACCAAAGGCCTCAGCCTGGCTCGGATGAAGGGCCCAGGAGCCTTCGGATCCCACCTGAGCCTGCCCTCCCTGGCAGAGGTGGAGCAGGTGCGCCAGAAACTGCTGCAGCTGCTCCGTGCCTATTCACCCAGTGCCCAGATCAAGCGGCTTTTGCAGGCCTGCAAACTGCTCTACATGGCCCTGAAGACCCATGCAGGTGTGCCCTCCCTTCATTCTCACAAATGGGGAAACTGAGGCCCGGAGCACTCTCTCCAGTCCTGCCACATGGTGGTTATAGGGATCACTCCTGGGATCACTTCTAAAACCAGCAGTGGGCCCTGGCCTTAGACACGAGAGCCTGAAGCTACCCCTTCCCCCCCATAGGGGAAGGTGCAGGTGCTGACGAGTTCCTGCCACTGCTGAGCCTGGTCCTGGCGCAGTGTGACCTTCCAGACCTACTTCTGGAGACTGAGTACATGTCAGAGTTGCTGGAACCTGCCTTGCTTACTGGAGAGGGTGAGGGACCCTTCCCAACTGCTGCTTCCTACACGACTCTTGCTGAGGGGCCCACACCTTAGCTGCCACTTGGGCAGGTCACCCACCCCCAGGCTAAACCCCGCTCTTCCCTGCTCTTCCCTTTGTGTCCCAGGCGGCTACTACTTGACCAGCCTCTCTGCCAGCCTGACCCTCCTGAGCAGCCTGGATCAGGCACCTGCCCTCCCCCTCAGCCCCTCCCAGGAGCTGCAGCGCTCCCTCAGTCTCTGGGAGCAGCGCCGCCTGCCAGCCACCCACAGCTTCCAGGTAACAGAGCCTCCCACACCGCCTGCCCTCCCACCATCTAGGTGAGAGGGAGTCTGGTAGCTGCCAGGCCAGTCCCCTGCTTTTTCCAGGGTCCCCTTTCTACTTAGAAGAGTCCTACATCCCTTGAGTCTTCACAGCTTGCCACATGGGGCACCCAGGAAGGCAGCCCACCCGGCAGAGATAGGAGCTGGAGTAGGGCCATGATTATCCCATTTTACAGATGAGAAAACTGAGACAGGACTTGGAGATGGAAAGAGGAATAGGTGGGAGGCACAGACTCCAAATCTGGGCTCCCAGCCCCCAGCTGAGGCTTGGCTCACCCCTCCTGCAAACAGGAGCCCACCAGGTACCAGGCTAGAACCTGGCCCCTACCCCATGCTCTGCTTGCCCTCCCATCATCTGGACCAAGGCTTGGGTGTTTTCAGAGTCGGACCCTATCTATCCCTGTCCTCTTGGACCTTGGTTTAAGGTCCAGGGTCTGTAGTCAGATTCTGGGTTCAAATCCTGGCTCTGCTACTTCCTGGGTGTGGGGCCTTAAACAAGTTACATAACCTCTTTCTGTCTCAAATTTCTTACTTGTAAACTGGGTTCACAGTACCAACCTCTTGGGGTTGAGTGAGTGCAGGCAAGTGCTAAGAACCTGCGGCCAGGCCAGCTCAGGCTCTCCTGTTGTTGTTAAGGTTGGGAGAGCCTCACAGGGCCATCCCTTCAGCCTGTAGACTGTGACCCACTCGTGTAGCCACATTTATCTCTTCCTCAAAGCCCATCTTTGGCCCACATCTGGTCCAAATGCTTTTTTTCTTTTCTTTCTTTACTCCTTTCTGTTTGTGAATTGAGTGAAGGTTTACAGAGCAAATCACCAGTTTTACATTGAACAAATCATATACTTCGTTTCATTACCATGATTGCAATCCCCTCCATGTACCATCAGTAGTTCACAGTATTTACCTCTACTCACTTTAACTCTTGTACTCCTCCTGGTGTCTTCTGCTACTTTCATCTTTTCCTCAAAAAGCTTTTGACAGTTAGATCTACATCCTAATTATACCTATCCCATCCCTGCAGAGCCTAAGCTGGGGCCTTAGATTTTAAAGTCAATATCTTGTACCAGATAGGGTTGAAGACTGGTTCTTGCTTCTTCTCCCACATAGCATCTCCTCCGAATAGCGTATCAGGACCCCAGTAGTGGCTGCACCTCCAAGACCTTGGCTGTACCCCCAGGGACCTCCATTGCCACCCTCAACCAGCTCTGTGCCACCAAGTTCCGAGTGAACCAGCCTGACACCTTCAGCCTCTTCCTGTACAAGGATCATGGCTACCATCGCCTGCCCCCTGGAGCTTCGGCCCATGGGCTGCCCACCACTGGCTACCTAGTCTATCGACGGGCAGAGTGGCCTGAGACCCAAGGGGTCTCACCTGGAGCTGCAACAGAGGAATGCAGGGGGGCACCGGAGGCAGGGAGCATCGAGGGGAAGGAAGGCACTCAAGAAGATGGAGATGCTTGGGTCAAAGCCAGCCCTGGGGACAGGGGACAAGAGACTAAGACGCCTGTCGAGGGAGGGGAGGGGCAGGCCAGGGGCGGCCCTGCTCCATCTGAGGGGACAGAGACTGAGGGAAGGCCTGCAGTCGAGGAGTAACTGGGGACAGCCAGAGGTGTCTATGGGTTAAGAGACTGAGTGAGCCACTGGGGTGGTCTTTCAGAGCCTCAGCGCCCCTAACCCGGCCTCCAGTCTCCCTGCCACCCCGCAGTTGCCCTTCTCCTACAACCTCTGGGATATCCAGGAGCCTACATGCTGGAGGACTGGGGGGGCAGACCAGATGCCCAAGGCCCCTTACCTTCTCCCCCAGCTGGAGGCCAGCTGTGCCCAACAAGGGTCAAATCAGCAGATACTCAACCTCTGGCTTTTGGGAGGGGTGCTGTCCCAGCTGCCTTTGCATCTGCCCTGGAGGTCACAGCCCCATCCAGCTGAGGGTTTCAAGACCTGAAAGCCCCCAACTGTCACTGGGTGTCAGGAGGCTTTGGGCGGTCGCAGAATGACAGCAAGGGCCCCACCCAGCCCCATACCTGGTCACCTGAGGACACTCCTCCAAGCCTCAGAATCTTCACCAGTCAGGGGGGATGGGAAGTAGGCGGGCAAACCCTTCCATCCCCCTGTTCTCCTCTGTCTTCTACAACCCCACCCCAGGGCTCTCACTGGGTAATGATGTTCATCCTCCTGGGAATCTGCACCCAGAAAAGAAAGCACCCCAGTTCCAGTCTTTCCCCCAGTAGGGGAGTCCAGAACCCCAGAGGGAGGTAACCCCCTCACAAGAAGGGAGAGAAGCTTCCAGACTTGGAAGCTTGGAAACCATTTTCTTTGCTCTTAAGTTGTTTGCCTCTCAGGAGAGCTTTTCGGTGGGGAGGCAGGGCATGGCTTATTGGCCCCACTGAGGTTCAGAAAAGAAAGGTGACTCCCAAGACGTCTCACAGCAGGTTTTTAGGGGTTCCTCCACCCAAATAAAGACACTTGAGTCTAAATCCTCAAAGTTACATGGCCTTAAAACTGGGGGAGTGGGAGGGACTGTTCAGAACAGCTGGTAAACCTGAGCAAAGACTAATACCCACCACGAGGGGGCGCGCTGATGAAGCGATCCCTGGGAAAGGGCAGGCCAGGGGCCACAGCACATGTGGCCTGTGTTACAGTCACCAGTAATCCAGGGGCAGCACAGGCTCCTTGGTGGCCAACCCTTAGGCCCCATGGGAAGCAACTGTCCACTGATGTAGGGAGGATCCCAGCCCTTGGCCACGGAGCACAAAGGGACATCAACAGTCATATCAGGAGTGGACAGTGGTTTTCAAACAACCCTGATATAGCCTAGATGTGGGTGTACCAACCAATTTTCCCTCCCCACCTTGGTCCTCCCACCCCTACTTCTTGCTGGTAGGGACCCTCCCCCTTCAACCTTTTGTATGTCCCCCGCCCCCCACCTCCCTTGCAGTTCTCAATAAAGGTTGTTCACTGATAACAAAGAGTGAGGGCCAGTGAGGTGGGAGCCTGAGGAAGGGGGCGAGGGAAGGGCTGAACTCTGGGATCCAAACACAGGATGTACCAAGTGCAGTCCCAGAGGAAGGGCCTGGGGTGGTTGCAAGGGGTTCTGGGAGAACCCCAGGGGACAGGATGTGGAGCTAGCCTCTTTGACCTCTGCAAGCCCCTCCCACCCCACTTCCAGCCCCCTGCGGTCCTAATCCTTGACTCTGTGAATTTAGATTGCCCCCACACATACGCCCACTCCCCTCTCAACACACCATTTATGAGAGTCTGATTGTGCTGTACTCTAGGGTCCTGATACAGGGGCTGGGGCTCCAGGCAGGACAGGCAATGATAGGCTAGACTGAGTGGTCTTATTCTCCCCATTCTACACATGAGGAAAGTGAGACTTGCTCAGGGTAAGTGGCTTGTTTAAAGACAAAGGGATTAGACACCAGGCCTAGTAAGCCTTTGGATTCCTTAATCCCCCAGGACAGGAGGACTCATTCACTCATCCACTCAGCAATTACCTATCATGTGTCCATTGAGGACCAAGCATCCACAGCCCCAGCCAAGCAGAAACAGGTCAAATTCCTCCACCCTTGCTCTGAGCAACTGAGAGCCTGCAGTAGCGTCCCTGAGTGATAGAAACAGTTAATTTGCTTGGCTGCTAACCAAAAGTTTGGTGGTTCAAGTAAACCCAGAGATGACTTTCAGAAGAAAGGCCTGTGATCTACTGCCCCCCAAACCGTCCACTGAAAACCCTATGGGTGACCTATACCTATGGAGCAGCAATTCAAAAGAAGGAACAAATCCTTACAGCAAGAAGCATTTACACCCCCTTCACACACAGAGTGGACGGAGATGGGCAACTGGGACATTGGATACTCAAATGGGGAGGGGGGGACTACAAAGGCAAGAAGTGACTGGCTTACAAGCTTTCAAGAGGGAACCTCGTGCTAGGGAGCATGGCGGAAGGCAGAATCTCCAGTAGGTACTACTCAATCTGTCTGGGCGGAGCTGATGAAAGGAAATACAGATGGGTAACTCGTGATACTGTAGGGAATAATGCTTATCAGGACGGATTGTGAGGGTTGGAAATGCAAACGTAGACGTTTTATAACAAGGAAGGGAGTGATTAATTCTCCAGGCTAGGAGCGGAGGTCTCTGGGACCATCAACGGAGAAGAGCCAAGAGCGGGACCCTACCCAGAGAAACAGAGATGCCTGAGATAGAGACAGAGACGACGACGTGGAGTGATGAAGCGGCTGGGGACTTTGGACCCAGAGAGGGAAAGGGACTGTGGGCCGAAAAATGGTGGTGGTGGTGGGGGAGTGTAGGGGGTGGGTTTCTAGGATATACCCTTTGATTGGTTGATGATGCATGGAGGGGATTGGAACCATGGCAATGAGATGATATACGATGGAATGAATGTAAGACTAAGGTTTTCCCATGTAAACTATCATATAATTCACAATAAAGCATTAAAAAAAAAAAACAAACCCTATGGAACAGTTCTACTCTGACACCCACGGGGTCTCCATGAGTCAGAATCAATTCTGTGAGAACTGGTATTGGGTACTAGGGACTCAGCCTCCCCTGCCACCACGTTCACCTTTGTCCGCACAGAAGAGGAAACATAGGCTCTGAGAGGTGACTTACCTAGCCCAGCAGGACTGGAGCACTTGGGCATGTTGCATTTTTCCACCTAAAGTCACCAGAAACTCTGTGCGTGTGTGTGTGTTGTCAGTCTCCCTCACTAGAATGTCAGCACCAAGTCAGTCTTGTTCCCAGCCATCACGCTGGGGCCTGACCTGGAATGAATGAATGAGGAAGACTCGGAATGTTTTCTGCAGTTCCTGGGGCCAGAGCAGCGCATTCTCCATCACTGCCACCAGGGGGCAGGTGAATCCCTTCTAGCCAAGGCCACTCCGGGGACTCAGTGGTCTGAGCAGGCCCTGCTTCAGGAGGGACACAACTCCACATGAGATCCCAAGGACATCCTACAAAAGGGGCCCTTCAAATGACGGAGGGTGTCCTAAGAAGGAACCAGGAGTGACCAGTCACTGAGGCCTGCAATGAGGGGACTCAGGGGCATCAGGACACTTGTGGTGGACACTCTTGTTGTGCTGTGATCACTTATATTTATTCACACAGGACACAATGCCCTGACCCACCTGGCTGTGGCATCTTAACCCATGTCCACTCCCACAGTCATGATCACACACAAGCATCTTGATCCACACGCACAGTGTGTGATATGCAGCCCACGTCCCCAGGAACACCCACAGAGTTAGGCACACCCTGACACCCTCAGCTGCTTATGTCTTGCAGGATGGGACACTGGGATTCTCCTCTTCCACAAAAGCCAAACACTTCTCAGACATCTTAGATTTTCTGTCACCATGCTCTTTCCCCCACTCATTGTGGCTCCCTGACACATACCCAGTGACAGGCTGCCACAGAGAAACACATGGTGACAAGGGATGACACATGCAGGGAAAATCTGCCACATATGCAGAGACAGGCTGAGACAGGGTCATGTGCTGACCTGCCACACACTTACACTAATGCATGCAGAAGGACCACAGGCAACCTAAGTACGCACTCAGACTTGGCAATGTATTCTTTCCCCAAAAGCAGCACAGTACACAGATCGATCCTCTCACTCTGACAAGCATTGTTGTCCGTTAAGTACCAGCAAGTTGTTTCCAACTCATAGGGACCCTGTAGAGGGTTTCCCAGGAGCTGTTGGTAAGTTTGAACCACCGACCTTGTGGTTCACACCAACCTTGTGGCCCAGGGCTTTATCCCACAGCACCACACCAGGACTCGACTCGCTGCCAAGTATAGGAAGCTCAAACACACACACACACACAGGGAGACTCAAATTCAGAGACACATGCAAACATGGAGACACACACACAAACATAAAACTCAAAGCTAAAGACAGGAACAGACGTACAGACACATACACACACACACAAACTCAGGACAACACAGACATAGGCACACACAAAGACAGAGACAGACACATCATTTGTATAATTCTGAGCTCAGAAAAGATGCTCAAGGCCTTCTCCAGGCTAATTTCATGCCGAGCCCTGGTCTGCACCCCTATGCTCATCCTCCCCAACCATGGTGAACTCTGGTGGGGCTGTGGGTGGCTGAGAAGACCCCCAAAAGGGGGGAGGTGACCCCACTGGCCAGGCAGAGGCAGAAGCAGACACAGGCGGTGCTGGGTGGGGAGGATTGAGCTCATCAGATTCCAGCCAGAGTGAATCACAGGAGTGCCTGGGGAGGGTCTGGGAGGGGGCATTGGCCCAGGGACTGGGGGCTTGTGGGCCTGGATAACTTTTGGACCGGAGGGTCCTGGGTCCAGAGCAAAGCTTGAGTCTAGGAGGAGGGCTTCCCTTGGGGTTAGTAGGACCTGAAGAGGTGCTTGTTGCTGGGCACAGATTCTGGGAGGGGCTCCTCTCAACACAAAGCTAAGCCCCAGGATGAGACAATCCACCCCACCCGACCCCACGCCTTCCAGCCTCAACAGCTGGGTGTTTTTAGCAGGGGGTAGGTCAAGGGTAGTGGGGAAGGAGAGGTGACCTTCACGGCCTATCTAGGCCCTTGGGCCT